AAACAGACTGGTTGAATTTCAACAGATTAAAAAAAATTGGGGGACCAGGATTGGGATTCACTGGGGACATTATGTGAGGGTGGGGCTGGGAGGGAAGAGGGAGATGAGGCTGCAGTCCCTGTGTGATATGGGGAGTTTCTCAACCCAGAGGTCCCCCAGTCCTCGTCCTCTCACCATGCCCCACGCAGCACTGTCCCTACAGGTGACTGTTGCTCCTTGCTGAGTGCCAATGCTATTTTGGGATGCAGAGCTTCCTCTCCGTAGGGATGCTGGGACACTGGGCAGTGGGAGCAGGGCCTGGGAAAATAGGCCATCAAAGCTGCCCAGGCAGTTCCCAGGGACTCAAGAGAAGAGAGGGCTGCAGGGTCACAGCAGAGAACTAAATTTAGGACACTCAGAGGTGGAAGTGGTTCCTGCCAGCCACAGGGGGTGGGCCACTTCCGTTTCGTTGGTATGGGATGTGGCCCTTTGGGAAGAGAGTGTGTGTGTGTGTGAGACTGAACTAGGTGTTCCAGGCCTAGCCTGTGGCTGGATCAGAGGACATCGTTATGGATTTGGTGTTGGATTTTTGTCTATGGTTGGGGTCATGGCTTGGTTTATTTCCCCATGTTTTCTTGAATTCCAACCATTATCTACCACATGGGCTATGACTCTTGCTTGGAGCTCATACTCAGAGGTGCCTACTTTAGGAGCACATGCTTTCTCTGGAGACAGAACTGTCGTTGACTGACCACCTGTGGATACACAGCATGAGTCACCCTAGAACATCACCATCTACCTACCCATTGGAATCAATGTCCCAAAGGGAGGGATTTTTTTTTATCTGATTGATTCATTCAGATACACCCAGGGACAGGTCAGTGCCTGGCCGAGAATACTCAAAAATATTTGTTGAATGGTGAAATGAATGATTCTACCCAGAGAATTAAGACAGGCTTTTGGAGACGTGGCCTGGGGCTGGCACTTGAAGAAAGAATAGAATCCAGATCCACTTCATTGGGGATGAGTGTGTCAGGCAAAAGTAATTACATTACAAAGACACAACAATATGTGATATACTCAGGAATGTTGCGTGTAGCAGATGGGGAGCCAAGGTAGGAGAGAGACTAGAATAGATCCAAGGTAGGAGAGAGACTAGAATAGGTCCAAGGGCCCTGTCATGCAGGACAGTGTGCATTTGAGGCCACTTTGGACCTCAGTGGCCTGAGTCTGCGAGGGAGGCTGCCACCAATCCAGACCTGGTGGAGGAGGATGGGGTGAGGAGTGATGGGGGGCAAAGCCAGGCCAGAACTGTGCCAGGGAGGAGTGAGAGGACTCTAGGGTATTTTGGAGAAGACAGAAGAGCAGGCTATGGCAATGGATGGGAGGAGAGTTGAGGAGAACATGGGAGGTGCACTTGTCCATGTCTTGGGTGGTGGTAGTGTTCTCACTGAGATGGGGAAGGAAAGGGGAAGGTAGAAGCCATTTTGGGGCAATTGTTTTAGTCCATGTGGGGTCCCGATGGAGACACCAGGAGACTGGAACCTAGGGAGAGACCAAGGAGCCAAGGACTTGACTTCCTTTCTGTTCTCAGAGGCTCAGACACAGCCTCCTCTTGACTAATTGTCCTTTCACATCCCAGCTGAGCCAGGAAGGGCTGATCCATAGGCTCATAGCCAGCCGAGAGTATGGAGAGGCTGAGACTCCAGGTCCCAGGCCCCTGAATTTGCAGGTTGCCCGGGTAACAGGCTCCATTGTGATGTTTCATGGAGCCAGCAGGAAGGGGTCATCATATCCCTTGTATCTCAGGAAGCCTGGAGAGCCAAATCTGGACATGCCTGGGAATGGTCCAAGGATGGGTCAACTGTCTGACAAGGAGGGCCTGGCTGCCAGGTGGGAAGAGCAGCAGTCAGAGGGCAGAGCTTGAGCCAGTGGAAGGTCCTTGTTGAAATCTGGGTTCAAACATCATCCCCTGAACACACTGTAATCAGGACAGCAAGCTAATCAGGCAGTGTCCTCAGTGAAAGAAGAGGTGTCCTTTCTTGTCACATGAGGTGGGACATCATGGGTGGCACCAGCACAGCTAGGACCCAGCCTGGCAGACATGCTGTGACCTTGAAGCAGTCCCTTGGGAGACTCTACATTTAGGCCAGTGAAGCAACCAAGGCTCCAAGCTTTAGGATTCTTTGTGGAGCACCTCAGAGCCATAGGGAAAAGGCCATGCCCTTCAGATATGGGCTGGAATGTTCAGTGCACCTGGGGAAGGATAATGTCTTTTCCTTGGCCTCAGTCTGCCCACTGCGTGTCAGCAGATTACCCAGGAGGCTCCATCAAAGCTCCCTTCCTCATCTTGCCCACAAACCCCCACTCTATTCATTCCTTGCTCCTGCCTGCTGGCTCACGGCCCCATCTTTGGGCTTGCTGTCCTGGCTGGTGGGAATGCCCTCCCCTGGGGGCTTGCCTGTCTCATCCTGCTCCTCCTTCCCATCTTGCTCAAGCAACCTCTCCTGCTCTTGTGAGACCTGTGACTGAGGGACACAAGGGGCCCAGCCCCCATGAACTGCCCTCCTTCTCCCCACCAAGACTGGGAGAAGCCATGGGGTTAACGTCTCCAGACAGGCAGCGGTCCCTTCCCTACGGTCCCTGGGGAAACCCCAGCTGGAAGTGCTCGTCACAGAATAATCATTCCACACAGCTTCAGATGAGTGAGCCACTTCCCTTCCTGAGTCTCAGTGTCCTTTTTGGTAGAGGGAGAGTGATGGTGATGAGTGACCTCATGGGAGGTGGACCAATTGTTATTTTTACATCAACGTGGGTGTCTCTTGTGGGTTTTGGGGGAATGTTTGACGAATAATCCTAGCGTGGATCACACTTACTTCCCTCACCCCTCCAGGGGGTTGGAGGAGGATAGGAGCCACGCCCTTCAGGAACGAGCCTCTCTACGTGAATGTCAGGAAGCTCACAGCAGTCACAGCAGTACTAGTAGCCCTGAATTACTCAGCCCTCCCTCGGGAGCTCTGAAAATAGATCCAGGTGCCCTTCTGAGAAGCAGCATGCGTACAGGGAAAAGGCCCAGAGGCCCCAATTAGAACCTTGCTCCTAGTCATCCTGGCTCTTTGGATGACTTAGAACGGGTCACGTGAGCTTGGTGAGCCACACCCTTAATTTTAATCCCTTCAGGTTCTCCCTCCATAAACCTTACTGTGCCCAATGGCTTCATCATTTTGTGCTCTCACTCAAGCTGTTCCTTTCCCCTGGGCTGTCTGTCTCTGTTCTTCTGGGCCAGGTCACTGCCTCCAGGAGGTGTTTCCAGATCCTCTACCTGGAGAGGACCTCCATCAGCCATTCAAAGGTATCCTTTAAAGATCCCAAGAAGTCTTCCCCAGGACGTGCTGCTGAGCCCATCACAAGCATCATCTCACTTCCCTCTATTTTACAATTCAGGAGACCGAGGCTCAGGAAAGTGTAAAGATTTACCTGCAATGACTTGCAGACCTAGGATTCAAAGCAAGGTGACACAAAAGCCCAGGCTTCTCCCCATACCCACATATGTGCCATTTCTATCTTCTTCTTAGTGAAGATGAGTAGAGATCATGTTCTAAAGAAGAGGCAAGTTTAAAAGCATCAAAATTAATCAGAAATTATTGTCTCTCCCAAGGTCTTCTCTCCAAACTACCAGCATCACAAACCTTCTCTTCTGGTAGAAATACTCCCTAAAACTGAATGGTCCCAGTGAACTCCAAAGCCTTGGAGGAATGTGCAAGTCCACGGCCTCCTCATAGGCATCATCAGGTCCTCCCAACATCTCCTGTTGGCTCAGCCATCAACTTTGCCAGTGCCAAGAACACTGACGATAACTATAGGCTCATGTGGCAACTCCAAGCAGGGCACCAGGGGAAGGTCTTTGCCTCATTTCATCCTTATGTTAGCTCAGGAATGTGGATGTTATTGTTCTATGTCACTGGGAAGAGAAGGAAACCAGGGCACAGAGAGGTTGTTGGGGGACATGGACAGGTCTGCCTAATTCCAACCATCCAGGGATCTCCCACCCTTGCTTCTTTGGTTAGTCCCTCTGCTGTGACTAGGATACCTGCCTGGGGATACACTGGGTCTCCTGCCAGGGGATTTTGCTCAGAGCCTCTCTCAGAGCTTTCTCTAGGACCAGCTTGGCTGACCTTCAGTACCTCCTGGGCTGGCCCAGGCCCTGGTCACCTTTGTGGTGTTCCATGAATGTGCTGGGCAGTTTCAGAAGATAGAGTCTGAATGTGAGGTCAAGAGCCCAGGGTTCAAGTCTCTACTCCTTATTTGTTGTGCTATGACCCCTGGCAAGTCACTAGTCTCTCGAGGCCTGCTGGGGACTGTCTCCCAGGTGATATGGGGGTATTGAGGTATCACATGGTAGGTTGTGCTAGAAGTGAGCTGGGTCAGAGTTAGGGTGGAGGGATGGGCAAGAAGCCTGGTCTAGGAGACTGGGCCAATTTAGGGTTGGTTCAGGAAGCGAAAAAAAAAAAGAGACAAGAAAGTAAAGAAGGGGTACTCATCCTTATTTGGGGAACAGAGAACTTCAGAAGGCTGTGCTCCCCTCCTGTGGGCAGGATGAGGTGAAAACTTCCCCCTCTGGAATGTTCCCTTCCACCTCCCCCATGCCGCAAGACACAGACCTCTAGCATTTGGGCTGAATTAAGAGTTTCAGACGTCAGCTGCCTCTGAATCACAGCTGCTTCAACCCCAGGGGAGTTTGTAGGGCTCCCATCATGGAGGATAGTTTCGCATCATGTCCAGCTGGCCTGGGGCACTTGGGGGTCCAGAAGAGGGAGCTCTGGGCCTCATCCTAGCCTCTCTCACTGCAATTCTCTTTATCTGCTTTACAAAGTGGGTTTCTCTTATTTCATGCAAAGAGAGGAGTCTGCATCCTAATAGAGAAATGGAAAAAAAAAAAACAAAAAACCAAAAACCACCCATGTATCCAATGTTCTCATTTTACAGAGTTCCAGAGAAGTCACAAACCAGACAGTTGGAGGGTGGGATTAGAATCCTGTCTGCCAGGCTCATTCATGCATGTATATCTTCATTCACTAATTAACTCAACAAGTACACATCAAATATCTTCCTTGTGCCAGGCATGGTGGTGATCAGGAGGATTCAGTGGAAGCCAGAATAGACAGGGTTTCTATCTGCAGGGTTGAAAGCCTGAGGAATGACAGGATTAATAACAATTAACCCTTTAGCACTAATTACCACATGCCCCGTACTTTACATGCATTAACTCTGACGGCAAACCTATGAGGTAAGTAACCCTTTAATTTATAGATGAGAAAATTGAAGCACATATAGGTAAAATGATATGCTGATGACCAGGCAGTTAGTAAGTAGCAGAGCTGGGATTTGAAGCTTGGCTGGGATTTGAACCTTTGCTATCTGGCTTTAGCGTGCATGTTAGTTGGTACTCCATTATTTAGATAAATATAGTTTACAATCCATAGTACTATTTTTGTGTTTTACATACAGTACCTATTGGAGATGAGATCAGGACAGAGAGGTGTTGGCCAAGTCTTCCCCGAGGCAATGATGCTTGAGTTAAAGTAGAAGGGCAACATCCACAGGCAACTGATTTTCAGCAGTATTGCCAGTGTCGTTGAGTCCTCTTCTCAATTGATGCTGGAGCAACTGGATATACATATGCAAAAAGAATAGCTGGGTGTGGTGGCACATGCCTGTAGTCCCAGTACTCGGGAGGCTGAGGCAGGTGGATCACTGAGTTTGAGACCAGCCTGGGCTACATAGTGAGTTCCAGGTCAGTCTCAACTACATAGTGAGACCCTATCTCAAAAACAAAAAGATTAAGGTGTCATTCCCCTACCTCACACCATATGCAAAAATTAACTCTCAATGTATCAAAGACCTGCCCTATAAGAACCAAAACAATAATACTTTAGGCAAAAATTTAGTTGCAAAATTTTATGACCTTGGATTAGATAGCCATTTCATAGATATGGCATAAAAAAGTACAAGTAACAGAAGAAAAATTAGACACTCCGGGTATTATCAAAATTAAAAACTTTTGTGTTTCAAGTAAAACTGAGAGAGCCAGAATCCACAGAATGTAAAATGTAAATCATGTATGCAATAAAAAATTTGTATCTGGAATATATAGCGAACACGTAAAACTCAATAATTAAAATACCATAAACTAAAAACAAGCAAAGGTCTAATTAAATAATAAAAAGACCACCCAATTAAAAATGTGCAGGGCTGGGGATTTAGCTCAGTGATTCCACTGCCTGCCTCACAGGTGCAAGGACCAGAGTTCGATCCTCAGTACCCCCCCAAATTTATTTATTTTTCTTTTTATTGAGCTTATTGGTATAATCTAGGTATACAATACAGTTACATTCATCATTGGGATTCTGTACGTTTACATAATAGGTCTTGATTCTCATTTTTTCCCTTTGTCCCTGAAAAAAAATTTTTTTAAATGTGCAAAAGTTTGTACATTTTTCCAAAGAGATTGCACAAATGGCCGACAAACACCAGGGGGCCATTCAATATCATTAGCTATCCCACAAATGCAGTTCCAACCGCAATGCCATGACATCTGATGGCTGCAAGGAAAAAGAAAGCAAAAGTGCTGGTGAGAGCATGCAGAGGTTAGAACCCTCTACATTGCTGGTGACTTGTCAATGATGCAGCCACTGCAGAAAACACCCTAGGGTGGGCTGAGTAGAACAAGGAGTGGGACAATGGGAAGCTGCCCAATGGGAATAAAAAAGAAAGGCTGGCCCTGGGACAATAGAAACCTTTTGGCCACTGCAGGTCACTCTGTCCATCCTGTATCTACTGGCCAGCACGTTTAAGGGCTTCTGGTCTGCTTGCATAGTGTGGAGGCTGGATGAGAAAACCTCCAGCCCTTTCTTCTCTGACTTTTGCTGGCTTCTGTTTCCCCTATGAACCATGTGACCTTACATAAGGCTCCCCCACTTTGGGCCTCAGCTGCCTCTTTTAATTCAAAACCAGTGTTAGGCTGGAATGATCTCTGAGCCTGCACTGGCGGCCTCAGTGTTTGTTCAAAGAACAAGCGAACAGACTTCGTTGCCAAGGCCCCAGCCTCTGCTCCCCTCAGGAGTTCACACGCAGCCCTCCCTCACCGTCAGATTAGTCAGATCCTGGAGATGAATGCAGCCCAGTGGCTCCCATGGATCCCCCGCTCCCCTCCTAGTATCCAGGCACTGGGGAAAAGTGGCTTCTCCTCCAGTCTCAGGAAGACAGCAGGCCACCAAGTGGGATGTGTGACCCTGCCCTCAATAACCCATGGAACGGCAGCTGATAGGTAGTGGCCTTTTATTCTTCTTTACAAAGTGCTGAATATCATCACCATCCCAGCCAGACTTCTGGGCTCCCAACTTCAAGCCTTGTTCCCTAGCTCCCTCTGCCAAGGCTTTTTTAAAAATCCTACTTTCTCAGATCCACTTGGCAAATTCCCAGTTATTCCTCAAGGATTCACCCCTAGATGGTAGCACTGAACCCTCTCCTATGTCCCCACCTCCATGGTACCCTGTGCAGACCTTGACTGACTGAAGGCCTTGACCCTGAAAGTGAAGGCCCCTCCAGGCAGGAAGAGAGAGTGAAGGAAGACATTTATTTTAGGTACCTGCTCAAGAGCCTCCTTCCCCAGGAAGAACCCCCAGACAAAATTTCCCATAGCCACTCAGGTCCTTGGCTTGCATCTCATGTGGCACAGCAACGGGCTAACTCACATCAGTCACTCATGCTCACACAGAATCTGAGCTGTCAAAGCTGAAGGCCCTGGAGATCACATTGCATTTCACAGATGGAGAAACTGAGGCTAGAGATTAGCAGGAACTGCTGACTGTCATTCTGCAGATGGGACTAGAGCCAGGGTTGGAGCTCCAGATCTCCATCCACACTCTCTCCCCTGAACCTAAGGCCTCTGTCTGAGTGCAAATCAAGGGAGGGTCTTGCTTCCTAGGTTGTAGGCTGCATGTCTGGATCCTAGGAGCATGTCATGACACAGCCCATGGGGCAGCCATGCCACAGGAGCCTCACCTGACTAAGGAGATCTCCAAACCACAAGTCCAAGTGCAAAAGAGCCCAGCAATAATAGGGCAATGGGGACATGGGCATAGGGGACTTGGGACATTCAGAGACAATATAAAGCCTTCAAGGGGGCTCTGGGTTTGTGGGACACCCACTGAGCACCCAACCTTTTCTGACCTTGTCTCTTTAAAGCTCTCTGGACCTCAGCCAGGCAGAGATTATCCCATGACTTGACCCCCTACTCCAACACAGCTTCCCTAGCTGGGCGCTGGATTCCCAGCTCTGCTACTCAGTCTCCTGGGAACTTGTACAAATCCCCCAACATCCCGGTATCACTGTTTCTTCCTTTGCAAAACAGATAGCAATGCTGTTATTTTGTAGGGTTGCTATGGGGATTAAATGAGTTAATACACGAGATCACTCAGAACAGTGCCTGGAACATAGTAAATGCTCACTCATGGGAAGGGACTTGTGGGTCACACAGGCACATCAGCTTGCGAGTCATTCACCTCTTGTTTTCTGTGCGAGATGGCCTCTGTGTTGCACTTTCATGGGGCATCTTTGACCAAAGTAACATTGACAGACAGGCTGGGACCTCTTCAAATCCAAGAGTGACTCAAAGGGAAAAGCACACCTCTGGATGTCAGGGAGGAGGACTCCAAGCAGTCCTCCCTCTCACTCTCCCTGCTGGCTCACAGAATAGCAGGGGGGGTGAGGGGTGGAGGAAGGTCTGTCCTCTGCATCTGCTTTGTGTCTTCCTAGTGCTGGTTTTGCATCACAGGGCTGGCAGGAGAGTTTACATTTCCAAATGCCCCAGACAGTGGCTGATAAGGAAGTCTCTGGTCTGGGAGCCTCATAGTGACTTTATCTGTCTAGATAGGACTGGCTGGCCTGGGCTGGAGAGAGAAGGGAGCCTTCTGGTTTCTGAGATATCTCAGAGCCAGATGCTCAGGGCTCAGGTGGGCCTGAGATCACATGGCTCTGGTATGCACCTCCCACCCCCACCTGGGTCCAGCTCTTGATATTCTTCCCTCTTCTTCCCCATCAGTGACCAGAGCCTGTCAGGGCCCTTGAAACTCCCTTAGGATCCCTCCTTCCCACAGCGAGTGAGCAGCCTGAGCACAGGGCCTCCTGGGGACTTTATGTCCAGGTGTAACTCTTCTCTCCCCAGACTCCCTGAAAACCTCCTTCTCCTCTTCCTCCTTGCCAGTTGGAGACAGTGCCATCTTTGGTCTCTTCTTTTCTCCTAAGCCTAACATCCCTACACTTACTTACCAAGCACTTACCATGTGCCAGGGACTTTATTAAAGCCCCAAGACTCCCAAGAGAGACTGTTATGATTTCCGTTTGACAAAGGGATTTGTCACTGAAGGGCACTTAACTGGAGGCAACAGGAGAGATTGGGAGGCCTGACACCAGGTCATCATAGGGTGGGACCTGCAGGAGAAGGAGCTGGCCTGCACCTGCCTGGGAGTGTCACGGAGGGCTGCCATTAAAGAGGAGGGTGGTTCCTGTTACCTGGTGCTGTTTAACAAGCTGCCTCAAACTGAGTGGCTTCAAATAGCAACATTTCTTTTGTTCTCATATCTTCATGAGTCAGAGAGCATGGTTGGTTTCTGCTATATTTGGCATTACCTGGGGTGGCTTAAAGTCTAGGAGATGGATTTATTGGAAGACATGTCTGTGGAAGCTGGCTGCTGGCTGAAACTTTAGCTGAGCTATTGGCCAGGACATCTACAGTGACCTCTTCCTGTCTTCATGTTGGGCTTCACCGCAGCATAGTATTTGGGCCCCAAGGCCAAGTGTTCAGGGAGAGAGACAGAAAGGTAGACAGAACATATAGAAGCTGCATTGTCTTCTGAGATTTAGCCTAGAAATATACAAAGTCACTTCTGACACATCTCATTCCAAAGGAAGGGCAGCAGACCCCATGTCTTAGTGGAGAGTGACAAGGTTCTAGTATGTAAAGCTGGAAATACTCCAAGGCCTTTTTTTGGAAAATTATAATCTGACACAAAGACCTTTGGTCTTGCTCTTGCCCCATGTTCCAACACTCCCTAAATCAGGCTAACTGGGAAGGTACAAAGGGGTGAAGGATTGAAGACTTTTAAATTTAGGCAGGTCATTTTATGTTTCTGAGCCTGTTTCCTCACTTGTCTAATGGAGTCATAACATCTATGTCATAGACGTAAAAACAAGGCAAGTTACAATCTTAGTTACAAGCTTAGAACAGTCTCTGGTACATCACACAAGGGTCCCAGGCCACTGAGCCTCTTCCTGAACAAAACCTACTCACAGGTCTCACAGGGCTGAGAGGTCTGCAGCTGCCTGAGGAATGGGCCTCCTGCCACTTGCCAAGGGGTGGCCCTGGTTTTAAACCTGTGTGGACAACTGCAGAACTACATGTGGGCTTTACCATGACTTGGCCAAGCTCAGAAGACCAAGAAAATATTTCTGATATTAGAGGGTATCTGCGGCATCTCGAAGTTGGCTTTGAACAAAGTCAGCCCCAGTTTCTGCATTTGTAAAATGGGGATAACAATAAACACTTCACCTACACTTTTAGGTTATTTTCCTCCTGCAGACACTGGTTGAACACTTAACTGAGGCCAGAGGCTTAGAGCTTTGTCCATGGAGACTTCTGAGTCCACCTTAATTCAAGTCTTTGTCCAGGGTATTTCCCATTAATTTACCTGTTTTCATGTAGGGGATCCTGGTAAGGCTTTATTTTGGCTCCATCGTTTAAAAAAAATCATACACACACACACACACACACACACACAAATACAAATACACAAATGGGTTATTTCCCTAAGGTATCTGAAGGGATTTTTTTCATATTAAAAGCAAAGCAGAATATAAATCATGCACGGACAGATTTGCTTTTGAGTGGTAATTGGGAAAAACTTGGACTTTCTGGACAGATAATTGCCTGTCGAGCCTTTTTCAAAGCATCATTTAGTGTTCACGGTGCATTCCTGAGTGAGGCCATGAAAGTCTGAACAAAAGGACTGTCCCTGTAGACCAAATGTGACTTAGCTCAGGATCTGCAGTTCGCGAAACCTTGCTGTTGCCTGGATACAGAGGGAAACACTTTTGGTGGGGACTGAGGTCTGAGGCATCTCAGCCCCTGTCACCAGTCTGATCCTCATCAGTGGCCCTGGGTAGGAGCCAAAGCCTCAGGCCCACCTCCACATTTACATGGGCCCCAATATTCTTGCTTTTGGCCCCAGGAAACCATGTTCCTGGAAGATCTACCAGACATGGTTATGACCTAGAAGTTTTATAATTCTCCAAGAGGAAAAGGGAGAAAAGGGAAATCAGTGTATTGCACTCACATCACACAAACCGCACATGGACCCAGACATACTTCTCCCACACAGTGCACCTCTACAGACACTCTCGCAGATCTCCAGCACATATGTTCACCTGGAAACACACACATACACACACACGCATGTCACATCTATCCTTAGTGCTACATCGAGAAGCACACACCCACACCTTGCACAAACATTCACACATATTCATGCACTTCAACATGTTAACTTAAATACACAAACATTTATGAAAAAAGTGGAAAATATGCATACACATAGATAGTTGTATATGCCCAATCATCATACACTTTCATGGACAAACAGGTACATATGCTCAAGATATTTGCCTCATGGAAGCTGGTGTACACACATGCTCACACAAACATATGCATGCCTGAGTATGATTGTGTACTTCATTTACACATGCTTATATCCAATAACAATGCAGATACCCAAGCATCATTACATATGTGTATACATAATGTATATTTTATTTTATATATGATATACACATAAAACACCAGAACACATTATAGCCACCTGCATGTACAAATCCATATATACAGACCTGAGCACTGAAGGGGGCAGACACACACACACACACACACACACACACACACACACACACACACACACACACACACACACACACACACACACCTGATCTCTACAAGCTTACCCCTACCGCACGCCATGTTCCTACACAGCCTCCCTTGCTTCTGAGAGATCCTGCAAAGGTACAAAGACCCAGGCACCTAGTTCCTCTTCACCTGAAAACCCCTGGGCCTTGAATGCGTAGGAGGGTGACCATCCGTCCTCCCTGCAGTGGGCACAGTGGAAAGTATGATCTGAGCTGGCTTTTGCAAGAAGAAAAAAGGTGAGGGGTTTTCCAACCCGTTACCTAACTGTGTTGGGGGTACCAGGGCCCCTGCTGCTAACCGACATCTAGTGGGCCCTGCCAACCATTGAGAACATAAGAATTACATAGCTTTAGTTTAGTGAGCAATGAATAAATGGCAGCCTGGTGCCCACTGTGTGCAGGCCCTGGACTGAGGCTCAGGGGTAAAGAGAGGGATAGGCCGGGCCTCCCTCAGAGTAGGGAAGTGTGTGGGATCCACTTGGAACATTAGCTTAAGTCCTTCAAGATGGTCATTTGATGATCAACTTGTCAAATGCTCAATTTTCTGAGTTTACCACATTTATCAAATTAGAAAATTTTAAACTCAAAAGCATACATCTGTTATATTGGACAGATTAGTATTTATTTTCATTTTGTATACTTAACAGCACTTTAAGTAATGTTCAGATAGACAAAAGCTAAGGGTCAGGGAGTGTTTTAGTTTTAATAAAGGTACTGAATGTTTGTAATTGGACATCCATTTGGATCAGGACCTTTTGGGAGACCTGAAGCATGACAGGCTATCTAGGACCACCCGGGTACCATGCCCGTACCTGGCTTTTCTTCTGACTTGTCCTGTGACCTGTAGCCAAGTTCCTTTTCTTACAGCCTCAGTCTCTCCACGTATGAAAAGCTCATCTTTAGGGCTTTGTTGACATTTAGAGACCCTGGAGCCTCCTGTGACATCAATCCCACATTGTGACTGGGGTCTGGGCCATGGGCACCAGAAAGGGTATTAACTCTGTTGGGATAGAGCCTTGCTGGAAATTCAAAGATGTTCCTTGGGTGCATTTCTCTGAATTGTGACATTTCTGTGTCCTGTGCTTACCCCAAGCAGAGGGGCCTCGAATATTGTGTGAGGACAGAATATGCAGAGGGTGGGGCCCAAGGCACTTTCCTTTCCTGGTAATAAGTTCTCTAAACTCATTTCCTTTTTTCGGAAGGGAAATGACATTAACATCATACAACTGGATTCTCAGTGAGGACAGATGAGAACTCATGATCCCTTGGCAAGCAAGAAGGATGTTTGCATGCACTGGACACAAACCTGTCCCAGGATAGATTTGCAAAACCTCTGATCTGAGATTTCTACCCCTCCATTTAGAGATGAGGACTTCTAGGTCAGAGCAGAGAGTTGGCCTAGGGTCCGTAGCCAACAATAGCGCTAAGTTCAGAATTCAGGCCCTTACTCTTAGCCAGGGCTGTAGACAGATCTCCCTCCTTACCTGGCTCCCCAACCCACCTTAGGAGCATCACATCCACCGAGATGCCCAAGCCACAAACTGGCTTTCACCTAAATTCCTTCCTCCCTGACACCCCTTTCTCCTTGCAGCCGTACACATAGAGTCTCTTGGGTCTATCCCAGGCTACTCCCAAGACTGGGCCTCCTGTCCCTCTCTGGGGGACGTCCAGACTGTGCCCAGATTTCCCCACATATCCAGGCCTCTTCCTCCTGTCCATCCTCTGCCTAGCTGCCTAGGTGACACCACTGAGCAGAGTGATGATGGCACTGCCCAGCTGTACCTCCTCCAGGGCTCTACAATTCTCTCAGACACCACCCCTCGTAGGGCCACTTTGCTCCTCTGTCCAGAGACTGTGGCTGTCCTTGGACTGTGAAACCTTTTTGCATTTGTTTCTGGTATTTCCTCTGCCTGGAGCTTCTCCCTGGCCTGCCCATCCCTGCTCCTGTCTCTCCTGGGGAAAGCTCAGCCCTTCTACACACCCCTTCCCCTGCCTTGAAAGGGACTGATCTCTCTAGCATGTGTATCTAAGTCTTTCCCCACTTCCTTCAGAGCATCAGAGGCATTTTATTGTGGAAAATTTCAAACACACAACAAAAATAGAATATTACTAAGGACTCATGTAGTCCTCACTTGGTTTTAACTCACACTGCTTTATTTACAATGTCTTCCATGCTGGATTATTTGCAGCAATTCCAAAACATCAAGTAACATCCACAAATATTTTAGTCTGTATCCATTTTTTTTTTGTACTCAGGATTGAACTGAGTTACATCTCTAGCCCTTTTAATTTTTAGACAGGGATCTCACTAAGTTGCTTAGGCAGGTCTTGAACTTTTCATCTTGACTCAGCCAATGTATTGCTAGGATTACAAGCATATGGCACTATAGTTGTCTGGTACTCTGTATTTCTAAAAGAAAAAGGCAACATAGAGAAGAAGTCCAAGGGAAAAAGCATGATGGGTGAGGAGAAGGGGAAGGGGAAATGAGTAGAATAAAGACATGTCATCTACAGGAACCTAATAACCTCAATTAATGGGAATATTACAAGGCATAACGTGCTATGATTAAGACTATCGACAAGAATGAGAAATGGGGTACAGGAATTGAAGAAGGAAGGAAGGAGAGGGAGGGAAGGGGAAGGGGATTTAAAAAAGAAACAATCTATAATTTGTACATGTAATCTCTCTCCAAGATAATTGTAAACTGTACAAACTGCAAAAATGTACAGTACTAAACAACAAAAAGAATACTATTACCTAAATTCTTAACTTTAAAAAAAAATCATTAAGTATCCTATCCAGAAGTGTTTAAATTTCCTCAGTGGTCTCATAAAAAGCCTTTTAAAGTTGGTGTGTTCAACATTAGGATCCAAACAAGGTCCATACTTTACTTGTGTCTCTTATCTCTTTTACTCTATAGCTTTCCCTCCTTCTTTTGTTTTTTTAAGCTTATTTGTTGAATAAACCAGGTTTGTGTAGTTTTCTTGACTTTTCTGTTTATGATGCTTAATGTATTTGCCAGTTCCCTGTCTTTCCTATAAATTGGTAGTTAATGTAAATACTCAAAGACTCAATTTTAAAGTTCTATCTTCACAAGAGATGTGTGTGCTTTGTAGAAGTCACATAATATTCATGATGTTCGACCATCTCTCTTTTTTGTGCTTTTAGAAGCCTTTGGTGATCTTAGCCTACATCTATTATTTCATTAGGTTTTTGTAAAACAATGATGTTTACTATTATGATTCCTTCTTCATTGATTAGCCATACAGCTATAGAAAGACGCATCTCTCATCGACTCTTTGGTTTCTCTGAAGTGCAGTTTATTAAGGAAAAAGGAAGAATGAGTCATGCTGTCTCCTTATCAATTTTCAGAATAATGAGCTGATTTTCTAACATGCTCCAAAAGTGATTGGCAAAGTGCTGCTTGTTATGTTCTGGTTTTTGGTTTTTGGTACTGATGTCTTGTATTTTTAAAAATTCATTTGAGGGGTTTCAATGAATTGTTATTATTATGCTCGTTATCACTCAAGTTCTTCCATCTTTGACCCAGGAGATTCTCTTCTGTTGCCTTCTGAGCCCTTTTGACCTGACCTTAGTAGTATTTCATAGCTTCTTGGCTTTCTGGTATGTCAGAATGTCCAGGGTTATCTTGAGTATTCTCTGAGTGCTTGGTGCTGTTTGGCTGGTCTTACTTCTAGACCATTCCAGTGTGCAGAGCTACAGTTTTTTTTTTCTTAAGAAAACATATATGAAGGGTTCATATTGGTATTTTAAATAAAATCTGGAGTTATAAGGCTTTTATTTAAGTTCTTTTATTTTATATTTGTATCTGTTTTCTCTAATGCTGAAAACTTTGCTCCCTAACAATGACATAATTGCCCATTATTTCTCCTTTCTTTCCACCTATTATAAAAGTTTCAGAATAATGATGTCAGTGGTTAGAGATAGCAATATGATTACTGAAACACTTTATAGTTTGTTATAGTAAAAGCAAAATTTTATTTCTTTTGTTCTTGATGTGTATATATATACATATGTTTTAGCGATATATATTATACATGTACATATACTACATGTAGGTGTACTAGTGAAGTTACAGTTAAGCTACCAGGTTTCTACATCACTTAGAATAATTCAGCTTTGTGTGGCAAAGACATCACCTCAGTACAGTACCTCACGTATTCCCTTTTGCTTGTCATTTTGGAAGACTGCTTTTGAATTTTATTTATATTTAGTTTTGTTTTATTTTTGAGAAAAGCATTTACTTGGTTCTAAAATTATTCTACAGAATGAGACATTTTCAGAGAACTCTGGCTTCTGCTTCCATTCCCCGGACCCCAATTCCTCCCTCCTCCAATAGATGACAGGTTTGAAGTTTCATTTTTAAAATTTAATTTAGTTTCAGGCAAAATATGGATGTAATTCTGTCCCCCTTTCTCTTTCTCTGACAAGTGATAACGTATCATATAAATTTAATCTACTTTCCCTTCTCACGTAGCATCATACCTCGGAGACTGCAACATTGCAGCTTTATTGGAGATCTTATTACCCTCGCAGCCACAGAGTCATCTGTGGTACACGTCATTGTGTGTCCCTTATGAATGGGCATTTTAGTGGCTTCTAGATTTTTTTCAATCATGAATGGTGCTGCCATGAATAGCTTTATGTATACATCTTGTTTTTGCCAGTAAATCTTTGGAATGGATTCCTAGAAATAGGATTGCTGGGTCGAAGGGTGCACACATACATAATTTTGCTGAAAATTGCCAAATTCCCCTTAGGGCTTGTACAATTTCATATTCTCATCAGACAACATATGAGAAGGCCTGTTTTCCCACAGTTTTGCCAAGAGTATATTCTTAAACTTTGAGATTTCTGCTTTTCTGATAGATAAAAGCTGGTATCTTGGCTTAGTTTTAATCAGAATGTCTCTGATTATGAACACAGTTAAACAACTTTTTATGTATTTAGCTTCTGAATCATTTCTGTGTCCTCAGTGTTCAGCTCAGGGCCTGGCACAGATGAAGCCATTAGGAGAAATTTCCAGAATGAAGAAATAAAAGAATAGATGAACATACAAATAAGGAGATGAAGTCCTTGTGAGGGGCCAAGATACTTGGGATTGAACCCAGAGCCTTTGCACTTAGCTACATCCCTGGCCCTTTTTTTATTTTTCACTTGAGACAGGGTCTCGCTAATTCAGTACATTTTCCAGGCTGGGCTAGATTGTGCAATCCTCCTGCTTCAGCCTTCTAGAGTGCTGAGATTACAGTTGTGTGCCACCACACCCAGCTAAGAGATGAAGTCTTAAAGAGATTGATTCACCTGTCCAAGTCATGTGTCCAATTACTGGAATTGGGACTAGAATTGATTTAAGACAGAGCTGGGTGGGGTCAGGCTTTGTTTTTTTATAATAAAACTCTCATGAAATCTAGCATGGGGTCACAAAAGAGCTGAAGGCTCACCCTCAGTTGACCTGAGGACCTCTCACGGGGCCCTCCTCTTACAGGATACATCAGCTCCCACATCACCACCTAGGGACAAAGCCTCCAACACATGAACCTTGGAGTGGGGATAAACAGCATCCACACCACAGCACCGCATTAGTAACTCTTTGCAAATGTAATTGTAATGGCCAGACACCATGTCACTATCCAAGTAGATACTAGTCTATTTAACTTTTGTGTTTCTGCTAGACTTCTAGATTGTTTCCAGATTTTCTTTCTATTACAAATAAATTTTGCCATGTTCATCTTTGTTTGCAGTCTAGATTTTTCCCCTTTAGAATTAATTCTTGGAAATGGAGCTCCTGGAATCTCAGCACCGCCCTCAAGTTTGAGATTTTTCTTGGCCACACTCAGTGGGGAGTGTCTGGT